TGTGGAGAGAAGCGAAGGCCGCGCGGGAAGGCCGCCGGCGAGATCAGCCGAGCCAGCGGCGAGATCAGCCGAGCCAGCTAGAGGAGGAGAGGGTGGGGCGGGGCGGGGGTAGGAGGCCCGAGCCAGGCCCGAAGGATAGTGCGTGCGATCGCCGCCCGCCGCCCGCTCTCTCCCCCGCGCGCACGCCTTTGCACGCTCCACGCCGCGCTCGTACACCCGCTTGGACAGCGTCGCCATCTCCGCCGCGAGATCCATCGGCCGAGGCACAGAGAAGGAATCGTACTCCCGGTCGGCGGCGGCGGCGGCGGCCGCCGCCGCGTCGGCCGCCTTGCGGTTCTCCGTCACGACCGGCTCCGGCGCCTCGTCCTCCTCGCCCTCCTCGTCGTCGTCGTCGTCGCTCGCCTCCACCTTGGCCGCCTCCTTGGCCGCCTTCTCCGCCGCCGCCTCCTCCGCCAGCCGCGCCTCCTCCTCGGCCGCGACCGCCTCCGCCTCCGCCGCCGCCTTGCGCAGCGCGTCGCGCTCGTCGAGCAGCAGCGCCTGCTCGCACGACAAGAACGTCGATTGCAATCTCGGGCAATCTCGTGAAATCTCGTCGGGCGTCAGCGCCTTGCGCTTGGACGCGTTCTCGGCGGCGGTGTCGAAGAGGGCCTGCTCGCGGTAGTAGATGTGCTCGACGATCCGCTGCGAGACGCGCGCAGAGTCGGCGAGGTTCTCCGCCGACCTGCGCCGCGAGGGGCAGCAGTGGTGGGAGGAGGGGAGAGGCGGGAGGGCGTGGGGGGGGGGCTCTCCGCCGACCGGTCTTGCTTGGAGTCGTAGTAGGCGAGCGTGTCTTGCATCAAGTTGACGAGCGGGACCTGAGGGGAGGGGAGGGGAGGGGAGGGGAGGTCCTCTCCACACACGCACGCACACACGCTCGCACACACACTCGCACCCACACCCACACTCGCAATGGGGGGTGGAGTTGTCATTTTGGTGTAGGGAGTTTAGGTCAGTTGTTACACCTTCTCTTAGCAGCTGAGGATGCGCCTGGC